AATACAGCTGGGCTACTGAGAAAGCAATGCAAAATCCAAACAGTTTAGCCCGTGGAAACCAGTCATTTGCAAAGCTATTTCCAAACTAAGTAAAAATTCCTAGCTCATGGATTCCTCAGAATCTCCCAGCCCTGTTAGTCAGGATGGAGTGGCTGCACTGAGGGGGACACAACTGTGTCCCCTGCTCACAGCATGTCAAGTGGGGGGGCACTTTTGATTTCCACTTCATCCAGCACACTGGGTGTTTTGGAGATCAACACATTCCCACCATCACCCCACGCGGCACCAGCTGAATGTTTAATCCCCTGCACAGATCGTGTTCCTGAGGAGGTTTCAGATCTGAAGCAGGGAACCTTGGCCATCCCCACACCCCAAGCAGCTGCCTCCACCTCTGTGTGCAGGGCTATATTTGGAAAGGCAGCAGCGTGCTCTTGGCATGTCCCAACAAGCACCCTGGGAGTGATGTCTGCTCCAGGTCCTAGTGCAGTGAGGAGAGGAGAGCTTGGGGAGCATGCTGGCAGCTCTCCCCACCTGGGCTCTTTAAGAGCTCTGGCTCAGAGCTCCCTGCCTTTTCCAAACAGCTTTTCTCTTCTCCTTTTACAGGAGCTGAGCCACCAGACAGGCATGTGTAAAGCAGACATGGCTATTTCAAGAGTGAGAGCTGGTGAAGGAGCCTGTTCCCACCCCACTTCCACAATCCTGCACACAAATGCCCTGGCACATCCGCAGGCATCCAAGGGGCTGGAAAAGCTGCACAGCAAACCCTGCATTTCCCACGGCGGGTGGCCACCACAACCACTGCCCTTTGTGCAAAGCATGTTGTGTGAACACTGGGATTAAAAAAAAATAATAAAGGCTGGGATTAAGATATTAATGAAGCTGGGAAGCTCTCCAAGGCAGGGCAGACACTTGTGGAGACAGGAGAATTGACATCCACACATGGTGGTAGGACTCCAACCAGTGCCTTGGGCATTCACAGGTAGAGGGAGACTCCTGAATGCTGATGCCTGCAGAAAAACATGGGGAAGGGACTCAGGTGACACTGTGCCACTCCTGTGCAGGGAAAATTGGTTTCTCCTTCCCTCTGCCTTTTTCTCCAGTTCCAGCTCCTGACAGTGAGGTTTGGAAAAAACATGAGCTTCTAGGGGCTTCTGTAACAGAAGTAACATGCATCCCACCTAAACTCCTCAATTTCCTACGTGGTCCTAGAGATCATAGAACCACAGAATCATTAAGGTTGGGAAGATCCTCTAAGATCATCGAGTACAAAAATTAACCCAGCACTGTAAAGTTTACCATTAAACCATATCCCCCAGTACCACATCTAGAGGTTTTTTGAGCACTTTCAGGGATGATGACTCCACCACTTCCCTGGGGAGTCTGTTCCAATGTCTGACCATCCTTTCAGTGAAGATTTGTTTCCTAGTATCCAATCTAAACCTTCTCTGCTACAACTTGAGGCCATTTCCTCTTGTCCTGTAGCTTGTTACTTGGGAAAGAGAGCGACCCCCACCTGGATACAACCTCCTTTCAGGTAGCTGTGGAGAGCAATAAGGGCTCCCCTGAGCCCCCTTTTCTCCAGGCGGAGTCCCCCCAGCTCCCTCAGCCTCTCTTCATCAGACTTACCCTCTAGACCCTTCACCGGCTTTGTTGCTCTTCTCTGGACATGCTCCAGTCCCTCAGTGTCTTACTTGAAGTGAGGGGCCCAAAACTGACCATGGGATTTGAGGTGTGGCCTCAGCAGTGCCCAGTACAGGGGGACAATCATTGTCCTCATCCTGCTGCCGCTCTATTGGTGATACAGGCAGATGAGAAGCCAGCACAGTCCCCCTCTGTTTGAAACCTTGAGTTATATCCTGATGGGCACTTCCAGGGCAGTTTCACATCATCTTGGATGTCACTTAATGGCGTGAAGCTGCATCAGAGTAGGTTTAGGTTAGATATCAGGAAAAGGTTCTTCACCCAGAAAGTGGTCAGGTGTTGGAACAGGCTTCCCAGGGAAGTGGTCACAGCACCAGGCCTGACAGAGCTCAAGAAGCATTTGGACAACATTCTGAGTCACATGGTGTGACTCTTGGGGCTGTACTGTGAAGGGCCAGTAGTTGGACTTGATGATCATAGTGGGTCCCTTCCAACTCAGCATATTCTATGATTCCACATCACTTCATCTCCACCAGCCCGGGGACTGTTCCGCTCCTGGGAGGACTCAGAACAAGGGTCAGCCAGCAGCCACCCAGGATCCAGCCACTGAACATAGGAACAACGGGGTAGGACACCCCCAGTGCTCTGCTGGCTTGTGACAGCCCTGGGCCAGGCAGTTGCTCTGTGACAGTGGTGTCCCAGGGTGTCTGTGCAGCCCTAGCCATGCTGGGCTCGCAGGTGGAGGTGTAGGCGTGGAGCTGGCAGGGACAGGGAGTGGCAGGGCAGTGGGACAAGATCCCTGGCTGATACTATCTGTGACACAGGTCACTTTTATGGCCTATCTGCTGTTTACACTGCTGAGCTGTGGACAGGTGGGGTCAGGCTGCAGAGGTGACTCACGACATGAACAGCCTGCTGCCTCTTCGTGCTTGGGTCAGAAAATAGGATAATAACTGGTATGGGAAGTGCTGTGATGCTTTGTCTCTCCATTCCTCTTGATGGCTGCTGGGGTTTATGGATACAGGACTGGAATTCTTGCCTGCTTAAACAATTGCTCTTAAGTATTTCATCATGAAGCAGGGGAAATTAAAAATACGATGAGTCGAAGCACAGGCGTTGCTCAGCTGAGGGCTTGGTGACCTGCCAGGCTCCTGGGGAATGCTTTTAATTTGGGTAAGTGGAAGTTTCATAAATGGTACAAAGGGCGCATTGCTCTTGCTGCTCATACAGAGCTGTGGGTGCAGCTGGCAGCACCGCATGATGTGCTGCCACTGGCTGAGCACCCAGCTGGGCACAGATGCTGCTGTGCACAGCTCCCACCCCAGCTGGCCTCTGGCTGGTGGCAGTCTCCTCCTGTGTTTTAGACACATCCCTTCACACTCTGCCCTGCTGGAGGTTTTTTTTGGAGAGGCTGTTTTCCAAAAACAGCTTGAAAATATGTAACTATCATGCCAGAACTGAGCTGTCACGTAGATCTCCCGTCCCTTCTGGTCAGGCCAGTCCCTATGAGCTCATGGGGTTTGTGGTTTCCTGAAGCAGCTGTCCATCCTCGGAAGGAAAAGCAATGAGCAGCTGCAGAGACAGGGATTGCTTCTGTGTGGGAATTGCTGTTGGGGGAGACACGGCCTCCAAGGTCTCAGGTGGTTTTATTCCCAGCTCTGCTGCTGATAAGACCTAAAGCCCTGGTAATGCTTCCAGCCTGGTAAAATGAGAAAAACTCTTGTGCATGGGGTTTGGGAGTTTTTGTGCTTTTGGCTTGCATGGGGAAAGTGAGTGGACACAGTTTTTCTGCTGCTAGCATGGGCATCTCCTTGTGAGCTGGCCTGGCCTGAGGGATGAGCACTAAGTGACTTTTAAAAGTTACCTAAAAACTCCTGGTCTGCCTAAACCAGGAAAACCTGACCAACGTCAAACACTCTTTGCCTTGTCCTGTCTCTTCCAGCCAGCCTGTGTGTGCACAGGCTGGACTGAGGGATCTGACAGGCAGTGCTCAGGCAAAACAGTGGGTGTGCATCCCTGCCTGTGTCCACACTGCTGCTCATGGGGAAAAGGGGGGCAGGGCTGGTGCTGGGGGCACTGTGTGCATTGGGCAGAGCAGGGACCACCATGGCCATCGAGGTGGGGAGCAGCCCACACGGCCTTGTGTTCCCACCACTGTACAGGTGACCAAGGTGGGACAGACAAGAGGGATTTCGGGCTGAGTGGTGGGCTCAGCGATGGGAGGTTTGGCTCTGTCAGCAAGTCCATATAACCCATCACTTTGAAGGTGGGATCCTTGAAGTTGATGGGAAGAGCAGTCTGTTGCTCATCTGTAGGCCAAGGTGGTCTTCACTACATCTTACCTGGAGGCAGCAGCATTCAGGATACAGGAGCCACATCTCCCCTGTAACATCCAACCCAAATCTCGATATAGACTCCAGCTGCCTGCCGGACCTGAAGGGGTGTCCCTGCCACAGCTTGGCTTGCGAGATACCAAGATGCTCCCTCCCTTGGCAATACCCTTCCTCCCACATGGCACAGGACCACTGGCTGGTGGGTGGCCCGGCCTGGCCCCACATACCCTTCCCAGGGCTGGAGCTTGGGTCAGGCCCCAGAGCTGGGATCAGGCCCCAGATCTGAGGCAGCAGTGGGTACAGGCAGCTCTTTGGCAGCTGGCTGAGGCAGGCAGGGCTGGCACCCACGCTGGCATCCCCTCCTGCCCCACAGTGGGACCCTGCTGTCCCTGGAGCTGTCTGACAATTCTTCCCTGGAGGGATCCTGCATTTTACTGCACTTTGGGGTGTTGGTAGCTGACAGGACATGACTGGGCCAGGATTTGACTGAGTGGTCCTGAGGAGAACCCCAGAGACCCTAGAGCACATGCAAGTTGTAGCATGGGGGTTGACAGGGCTATAGCTGGGGGAAGGGGATTCCCAGGGGGTGTGCTGCGGGAGCAGGGGGTTCCTGACCATGTTGGGGGGGGTCCTGGGGTGGGGTTTCCCTGCAGAAACAAGGAGTCCTCGGTAGAAGATCCCCATCAAAGGCAGGGCTGTTGGGGCAGGGGCACAGGTGGGGATGTCCTGGGGTAGAGGGCTCCATGCCTAGTGGGGATCAGGGTACAGCAGTTGCAGGGGGCCCCAGCGCAGGAGGCTGGCGGGCAGGGTGGGGCTGGGATACCTGGAGGGGGGACCCCGAGCTGGAGGGTCGGGGCCCGTCGGGGCGGTCCCGGAGCGCTGCCGGTGAGGTGCCGCCCGTCGGGGCTCGGTGCGGCGGGGGAGCCCCGCCCCGTTCCGCCCCGCAGCGCCGCTCTTCTCTCCGCTGCAGCCCGGGATGGCGCCGCGGCGGGGCTGAGCGCCCGGGCCGGGCCGGGCCGGGCCGGGGCCGCGATGGACAGCCCGAGTGGGGACCGCCCGCCCGCCGCCGCCCCGTCGCGGGCGAAGCTGCCGCTCAGCATCGTCTTCTCGACGGCGCTGTTCTGCGGGGAGGGGGCGGCGGCCACCGTGCTCTGCCTCTCCTACAGCCACTCCGACGACCGCTTCTGGCTGGCGCTCACCATCTTCTTCATGCTCTGCCCCTCCGTCCTGGTGCAACTCACCCTCACCTTCGTGCACCGCGACCTCAGCCGCGACCGGCCCCTCGTTCTGCTCATGCACCTGCTCCAGCTTGGCCCCGTTATCAGGTGAGCACAGCCGGGGGCGCGGGGACCCCCCGCACGGATGTGCGGACCTCTGGCAGGTACACGGAGACCCCCGGCACGTCCGCGGACACCGGATGAGAGCGGGAACCGGTGCCGGGCAGGACGGGCGCCCCGGGGACCGCCTGTCAGCAGCCATATGTCCGGTGTGCCCGGAGCTGCTCCTGCCGGCTCCTCGTCCCTCCTCCCCGGAGCTGCTGCTGCTCCCGGCTCCAGGGTGTCTCCTGCTCGCCCCTCCCTCCCTAGTGGTGCAACGGGCGCTCCTGCCTGCTGGACCCCTCTCCGGGCAGGACGTGGCTCTGCCAGCCTGTTGCATGCCAGCTGCTGGAAAGGCACTTCGCAGAGTCCTGGCTGCCACCAGAGGCTCTCCCAGCGTCTGGGGTTTGCCATCTCCTTGCTGGGAGCACAGATGGGAATCCTGACGGGGTGCTCGAGGGTGAATAGGAGCACCCTCAAAGAAGGTCCCCAGACCTGGAACAGCTGGGATTATGGGGCATGGAGGAGAGCAGCTGGGTACAGGATTGGGGCTGGCATGGGAACTGGTGAGCCACTGGACCATGTTGGGAAGACGGCAGTGAGGGGGTGGATATTGCACAAGTTGGAGATGTGCTGATCTCTCATTCCTTGGGAATGCTGCAGTACTTCCTGGGCTGCTGTCACCCTGGCCACCCTTCTCAGTGAGAATGCACAGCAGGAGGCAAGGCAAGCTGCCATCTCCAAGGGTGGGCCAGGAGCCACTCTTTGGGGCCCACAGAACTGTGAAAATACGGTGGCCTGCACCCCATTTCCTCCATCACCGGAAACAAGCAGAGTGCTGGAAGTGTCCTCGTCACCACATCCAATCTTCAGAGGTTGCTGGGGGGCCTCACCTCAGTGCTGCCAGCCCACGGTGGCCCATGGTGGTGTCATGGGTCTCACCACACTGACCAAGGCTGTCTGAGATGGTTATGGTGGAGCTTGGCTGCTTGCAAGAGCCAGCTGGAGCTGCCCGGGTTAGACTGCCTCAGCCGTCTGCTCAGGCCGGAGATGGAACCCAGCCTGCTGAGAAGGTCTGGCAGGGCACTAGGAGCCAGCTGGGACTGCACTTGAAGTTGGACCTTTGGGATGAAACCGTTTTCCCATTCAAGTTTGCAATGAGCCATGTGCACTGGCCTGATCTGCCGAGAGAATTTATCCAAAAACCTCATTCCGTTTGGGTCTGATGCAGATAAATTTCTGCTGCCCTAATGAGCACTCATAAATAATGATATCCTGTTGGTCCCAGGGCTTGCTAGTCCCCAGGCATGAGCCAAACCTGTCAGATGAATCCTCCTCTGCTGATTACCTCTTGCCATGCACATCCACCCCATGGCTGTGTGTGGAGGGGCTGGGGATCCCCCGCCCTCGCAGTGAGGAGCAGCACAGGAGAAAGTCGCATCCCCACCCACACGTGAGGATGCCCCGCGGAAAAGGGCCTGCGGAAGCGCTGTCTTATCTGCCCATGTCACACACAGCTTCACCCTGCGCTCCTCTTCCTGCTGTCCCCACCAAGAAGGAAGCGTGGAAGCCTTCTTCTGCTTAAGAGCAGAGATCAAAGACAATATCAGAGTTTCTCTTCCCTCTGCTTAGAGGAAGAGGTTTTTACCAGTTGGGAAAACAGAGCCCAAAGGTGATTAACACCTTCCTGTAGCTGTAGCTCCCAGCAGAGCCACTGTTTCTGTACCCTGAATGCTGCACCTCTTGCAGCAGCTCTTTCACCTCACGAGTTGCCCTTGCTGGGGCAACTGTTGCTCCTCTGCCTCATATGATTCATCCAGAGTGCTGGAGCAGAGAAGCAGCCACGAGGCACCTTCATGATCCTGGTGTGACTCTGCCATCATCTTGCCATCCCAGGGCCAGGAACCGCCCACAGCACTGCTGGACAGTTGCCCAAATCAGTTGGGCTGCACTCAGCAGGAGGACAGGCTGGCCAGCACCAGGAAAGAGTCTGCTAGACGTGCCAGGAGTGGGGCTGGGGGCCAGCAGGGGGGCTGGCAGGGTGGCAGCTGGTGGGGTGACAGCTCCTATGTCTCCACAGGTGCATGGAGGCCCTGCTGGTGTACTGCAAGTCAGGGAAGAAGGAGGAGCCCTACGTCACCATCACCCGCAAGCGCTGGCTGCGGAAAGGCTACGAGGTGGAGATGGAGCAGGAGGTGGGACACTCGGAGCGCCGGCTGGCCACGCACCGCAACGCTTTCAAACGCATGGCTGTCATCCAGGCCTTCCTGGGCTCCACCCCGCAGCTCACCGTCCAGCTCTACATCAGTGTCTTGGAGAAGTACGTCCCTGTTGCCCGAGGTAAGGGTGCCTGGCATGTGGGCTCCCTAGGAACCCCACCAGGGCACAGTGCCAGCTCCTTAGCTGTGTGTGCCAATGTGGCATCCAAGCAATCCAAGCAGTTGTTTCTGGGATCACAACTGCCACTGGACTCCCCTAAATGTGGAACGCAACCCACAGAGGTTGGGCACTCATCAGCTCTCTGCTTTTCGGCTTGCAGTGGGGATGAAGACAGTGGGAAGAGTTGGCCATGACTGAGGTGCCAGGCTCTGCTCCCAGACCCGATGCTTGTGGGTATCTGCCTTATAGAGCCATGCCATCCCCTCAGTGCCCTGTCCCATAAAAATGGCAGGTGCCTGCTCCAGCCTGCTCCAGTCTCCATTAGTTTTTTTCTGTCTAGCTACAGCCTCTGGGTTCCCTACAGTCCTTCCACTGGATCTATTTCTCTACCTTTCCCAACAGCTGGAGCTCCTAGCCTAGCACTTCCACTCCCAGGCTCCCTCGTGAGCTCCCAGAATGTTTATGTGCTTGGGGGTGGATGTGCCAGAGCAAGCTTTTAACTCCCTCTTCTGCATGCTACCAAGCCAGGCAGAACCTCCTGCTTCCAGCAGCTCCCCTCGAAGTCATCTCATCATGGGGACTGTCACCACCAGCTGTGAGCTGTCCCAGCAGTGCTCACACTGAGCCTCCTGCTGTGAGCCCCAGGGTTTGGCACCCTGCACTTCTCACCCAGGATTGGCACCCTATGTTTCCCACATGGAGCTGGCACCCCAGGCTTTGCACCTCAGGCAGCAGAGAGGCTGGACACACAGTGCAGTCCCTGGTGCTGCCTGACTCCCCTGCTCTCTCCCTCTGCAGCCGTCCTCATGGCCATTTGCCTGGTGTCGGTCACCTACGGAGCGCTCGTCTGCAACATCCTGGCCATCCAGGTCAAGTACGATGACTACAAGGTCCAGCTGCGGCCACTGGCCTTCCTCTGCATTGTGCTGTGGCGCAGCCTGGAGATCTCCACCCGCGTGGCCGTCCTTGTGCTCTTCAGCACCGTCTTCAAGCACTGGATCATCCCCATTGCCCTGGCCAACCTGCTGGTGGTCTTCTTCTTACCCTGGGTGCAGTTCTGGCGCAGCGGCACCCGCCTGCCCGACAACATCGAGAAGAACTTCAGCCATGTAGGCACAGTGGTGGTGCTTTGCGCCTTCACCCTCCTCTATGCCAGCATCAACATGTTCTGCTGGTCGGCCGTGCAGCTCAAACTGGCCGACCGGGACCTCATTGACAAGTCGCAGAACTGGGGCCGCCTGGCCGTGTACTACGTGGCCCGGCTGGCCGAGAACACGGCCCTCGTCATCCTCTGGTACTTCTTCAAAACAGACGTCTATGAGAACGTCTGCACCCCACTGCTGGTAGTGCAGCTGCTCCTTGGCTACTGCCTGGGCATCTACTTCATGCTCCTCTTCTTCCAGTACCTGCACCCCTGCCGCCAGCTCTTCCGGCACAACGTCGCCGACTTCCTGCACTGTGTCTGCTGCCACCGGCACCCACCAGGGACCCCACTGTGTCTTGAGGCACCCTTTGAGCCCGGTGTGAGGCACAGCATTGTCTGAGGCACAGCATTGTCTGAGGCACAGCTAGCACCCATCTCTTCCAGCTGACTGCAGGCATGGGGATGGGCAGCACTGGGCTGCACCAGCAGTCAGAGGATGCTCGCAGCATGAGCCAGGCACTGCCTGGTTCTGCAGTGGCAGCCAGTCCCAGTGTGTCTTCACAGTGGCAGGGGGACAGGAATGTGCTCACCTGCCCAGGACCATACATATGAACATGAAGGAGGGTTGATTTGGATTTGATACAAGAAAGGAGTTTTTTACAATGAGAGTGGTGAGGCACTGGCACAGGTTGCCCAGAGAGATGGTGGACATCTCATTCCTGAACATATTCAAGACCAGGTTGGATGGTCAGGCTCTGAGCAGCCTGGTCTAGGTAAAGATATCCCTGCCGATGGCAGGGGAATTGGACTTTAGAGGTCCCTTCCAATCCAAACTATTCTGTGATTCTACGATTCAAGGACTTGTGGGGTGCCCAAACCACCTGCAAGCTGGCTGCTGTGCAGTGCACAGCCCATGGGGTGCCCCTACACCCCCAGCTGCTGCTAGGATGCATACTGTGACCTTGGGCCGTGGGTGCCATTGGGACTGTTTTAAGCAGTAAAGAAACTTTGCTGTGGCTGCGTGTCTGGGTGCTGGCAGTGACTCACACAGAGGGTGGGGACTGTCCCACCAGGGCTGGCATGCGTGCACACACCTGCTGTCCACATAACCCTCATGTTCATGGGCACTGAAACGGGGCTGCCCCGGCGGGGCATATGGGGATGGGGGGGAAAAACCCTCAGTGGAGCTGGTAAGATTCAGGAGCACGGTGAGATGGGGGCTGGCCTCATCCTGCGCTTCCGTCAGCGTGGCCATGGCTGGGGGCCAGGAGAAACCAGCATGCCAGCAAAGAGCAATCCTGTCCAACCTGTTCCTCCAGGCTCAGGGCCTCAGAACTGACTGCTGTTCCCAGCTGGAGTGCTGGGCACTGCAGAGCTTGGGGCCTCCGGTGGAGGGCAGGCAAGAGGGGAAAGGTGGCTGGCAAAACAGCAGGTATGCTGATGGGACCCAGGCATCCTGGCCCCAAACTAGGAGTGTAACCCCACTCCTCCCCCAGTACCCATTTATAGGGTCAGGTCAGTCTGGGTGCAAGAATGAGGACGCTCATCCCCCCTCGTGCTCACAGAGGTGCAGCACTGCTGGTGCTCAGTTTTAACTCACCTGCCCTGTAATGGATCCCTGGGACAGACTCTGGCACTGGCACAGTGTCCTCAGGATACTTCTCCTCCTTTGGCGGTTTTTCTGTAAAACAGAGGCAGTGGAGGGAGGTCAGGAAACAGCACATTGGTTGAACCGGTCACAGGATGGATCCTCCGCAACTTCTTCCCACCAGGAAATTCCTACCTTAAAAGAAGCCCATTTTTGTCCTCAAAGATTGCAAAACCCCAAGAGGAGCAGCCTGATGCCCTCCCGCACCCAGTCGTGTGTGCCAAGGGGACCCTCAGCTGGGGACCATCCCCGGCCGGCACAGGGGGCTGGTTTGGGGCTGGCCAATGCGGTCAGCCCTGCCTTCCCGGAAGGTGGCCTTTGAAACTACCGGCATTTCCTCGAAGGCTTCTCAGGGGAAAGTCCCCGCGGTGCAGTTCCCGCACCCGGGACTGCCGCACCGCCTGCTCCCTCCATAAAACATCGGGCAGGCAGCGGCAGGCACGGGCAGGCAGCGGCAGGAGCAGGGACATCGCACCATGGGCAACTGGCTGGTCAACCACTGGTTCTCGGCCGCCGTCCTCGTGAGTGTGTGGGCTGGGGGGCTCACAGGGGTAGGGCAATGCGGGGGGCTGTGGGGACTACGGGCCCTGGGGCACCTGTGGGAGAGATGGGGGCTGACGGGCTGTCCCGGGGCTGGGCTCTGGGAAGAGACAAGCGTCCCTTCTGCTCAACCAACCTGCGTACCCCGCCAGCCAGGGGAAGGATGAGGGTTTGGAAAACTGAAGTCTTAAGGGAAATGCAACTCAGAGGAAAGGGAGGTCCTGGAAAACTTAAAAATGCTCCTGGTTTGCCCACTTTGGCTGGGAGCCTCCCGCACGGCTCTTCTCCCCCCATGAGAGCAGAGAATCCTGTGAGAGCTCACGCCAGGGTGAGGAGATGGAGATGGTCCATAGGGACCATCTGCCAGTGCTGTGCTGTGGCATCACTGGTATAACAGAGCGTGCCTGGCCAGCACCCATCGACTGGTCAGCACTGTATGGGGAGCTATGAATACATGGGGAAGTGGGAGTTTACAGGAAGTTGGACTAACTTAAGTTACCTTAAAAAAAACCCCAAACAAACCAAAAAACCAAAAACAAATAGAAGGCAGAGTGTTTTTTTAGGGAGCTCTGCAAAAAGTCAATGGCTGTGAGAGGGGCCAGTGTGGAGTGCAGTGGGGTTAGGCAGGGGATGGTGAGGCTGGGTGAGCCAGCTCCCTGTAAAACTTCCTCCTCCCAGAGTCTTCCCTGTGCAGCCCCGACCAACCTCCGGACCTGCCTTCCCGTTACACAGGTGTTGCCTGCTCCTGCCTTTCCTCCTTCCTCATGCATGGGTAAAGCACAGGGCTGTGGGTGACAAGACAGTAATTTCGCAGGACTTCCACACCTCTGCCCACCCTTGGCCCTGTGTCCTGGCCCTGTGCGTGATGCTGCAGCTCATAAGGAAACAGGAGGGGATGTGCTGTCCTGACACCCTCTGGTTGTGCCTGCACCTGACTGCTGCAGGGTGAGGGGTTCCCAAGGCCAGGGCCCTTCATGATGCTGTGACTTTTCCCCACAGGCAGCCTGGCTGGGCATCAATATCTTCCTCTTCACTTACTACTTTCTGTTCTTTGACCAAGATGACCGATATTTCTACACCAGGGCCATCCTCGGGGTAAGGTGCTCTCCAACAGCACCCTTCCTACCCAGGCACATGTGCATCCTGGAGCCCTCCTGCAGTGGGGTGGGGCTGCAACATCCCATGCCCCTTCCTTATTCTGTCCTCTTCCAGCCCACCACCATTCTGTCCCACTCCCCAGCCCAGTATTGCTCCTTGTTGGTCCCTGTCTTGATCCCTGTCTGGTCCCAGCCCAACAACATCCCAGCCCAGTACAGCACCACCCCCTCCCAGTCCAGCTCAGTCTCCCCCTTCCAAGTCTCCATCCCAGTCCAGCATTGCTCCTTCCCAGTCCCCAGGCCAGCATCACTCAGTCCCGGCTCAGCATCACTTGGCCCCATCCTAACCCAGTCCCAGTTACAGCACCAAGGGAGGTGCTCACCCCTCTCTTCTCCCCAGTCTGCCTTGGCGTGGGCTCGAGCATCAGCCAAGTGCCTCAACTTCAACAGCATGCTGATCCTGCTGCCCGTCTGCCGCAACCTCCTCTCCTTCCTCCGTGGGACCTGCTTGGTGAGTGCCCTGCAGTGGCATGGCCAGCATAGCTGTCCCCATCCCTGTCCCTGTCCCCATCCTGACACCACTGCCTCTCCCTGCAGTGCTGCAGGCGGACGCTGCGGAAGCAGCTGGACCACAACCTCACCTTCCACAAGCTGGTGGGCTATGCCCTGGCCCTGCTCACAGGTATCACCAGCACTGGGCTGGGGTATGGGGGGACAAGGGGATGGCCATGTGGGTGACTGTCTGTCCCCTGTCCAGCCGTGCACACCATTGCCCACCTCTTCAACCTGGAGCGCTACAACCAGAGCCAACAAGCCACTGATGGCAGCCTCCCCGCCATCCTCTCTAAGATGCACCTGCAGGACAACAAGTGGCTGAACCCCATCCACTCTAACGAGACGGTGAGCGCAGCCTTGGCATCCAGCCCCCTGCCACCACCTGTCCCCTGCCCCCCTAACCCATCCTGCCTCTCCTGCAGACCGTTGAGTACGTAGCTTTTACGACCATCCCGGGGCTGACGGGGGTCATCATCACACTGGCGCTCATCCTCATGGTCACATCCTCCACCGAGTTCATCCGCAGGAACTACTTCGAGGTCTTCTGGTACACACACCACCTCTTCCTCGTCTACTTCGCTGGCCTTGTCATCCACGGCATTGCGTAAGACTCCTCACCACTCCCCAAGGCAGGATATTGAGGGGCAGTGGCTACAAATCCCCTGTGGGGCACCCCAGGCAGAGTCCAGTGGGGTTGTGAACTGCCGTTCCCATGGTGGACTAGCCCAGCTGGCCTCATGCAGCACAGCTCAGCCCTGGCTGGGAGGCAGGAGCCGGCCCTCGGGCTCACCCCTTACCTCCCTACAGCGGGCTGGTGCGTGGGCAGACAGAGCAGAGCATGGCAGAGGTGGACCCCCATCGCTGTGCCCAGTACCTTATGCAGAGGGACCAGAACTGCACCCACCACTGCTGCAAAGACCCTGCGTTTGGGAGCATCCCTGCTGAGGTAGGGCAGCATTGGAATGGGTGTGAGGGGAGAAGCCCTCCCCATAGGAGGCTCCAGCCCTGGTCCTCCCCAACCCTTTGCCCTCCTCTGTCTCCACAGTCCTGGAAGTGGGTTCTGGCCCCCATCATCCTCTATGTCTTTGAGCGGATCCTCCGGGTCTGGCGTGCGCAGCAGAAGGTGGTTGTCAAGAAGGTGGGTGGTGCAGGAGCCTGTTCCTACCCCAGCTCCTTTCCTTGGAGTCACTGGTGCTGCAGCTTCTCGCTGTGGTGGCTGTGCGGAGGTGGGCAGGGGTGGTGGCCACAGCCCCCTTCCCAGAGACAGGAGCCAGGCTGGGTGCTGAGCCCTGTCCGTGCCCCCAGGTGGTCATGCACCCTGCCCGTGTGCTGGAGCTGCAAATGCAGAAGAAGGGCTTCCGCATGGAGGTGGGGCAATACATCTTCGTCAACTGCCCCGCCATCTCCCCACTGGAGTGGCACCCCTTCACCCTCACCTCTGCACCCGAGGAGGACTTCTTCTCCATTCACATCCGGGTGGCTGGTGACTGGACAGAGCGTCTCATCGACACCTTCCAGTCACAGAACCCCAGGTAGGCTGGAGAGTGCCCCCACAGGCCATCACAGGGATTTGAGGAGGCCACACCTCTCACCCAGGCCCTCCCTTGGCCAGGATCGAGGTGGATGGTCCATTTGGCACTGCCAGTGAAGACGTGTTCCAGTATGAGGTGGCCATGCTGGTGGGAGCGGGAATCGGCGTCACTCCCTTCGCCTCCATCCTGAAATCCATCTGGTACAAGTTCCAGCAGGCTGACCAGACCCTCAAGACCAAGAAGGTACAGAGTGTCCCATGGGACCAGCTGTGGGTTTCTCCATGCTGAGCTTCCCAGTACTTGGCATTGCATTCTCCCACCCGTCTGTCTCTGCTCCATCTTGAGCAACCCCTCTCCCCCCACATCCCAGATCTACTTCTACTGGCTCTGCCGGGACAGAGAAGCCTTTGCCTGGTTTAACGACCTGCTTGCCTCGCTGGAGCAGAAGATGGCCGAGTCGGGCAAGGCGGACTTCCTCACCTACCGCCTCTTCCTCACTGGCTGGGACACCAGCATTGTGAGTTGACCAGAGGCTGTTGTGGCTGCAAGAGGGGACACGGAGTGGCCGAGTTGGGCAGGGCAAGCACGACAACGGCTTTCAGGCACAAAGTCTGGGCATGGTGTTTGGTGGGATCAGCAATGGATACT